ACTGTATATGTACATAATATGACATTTTGAAATGTCTTTATTCTTTTGGAACTTCTGAGTGTAATGTTTACTGTTATATTTATTGTTTATTTCACTTTTGCTTACTATCTACTTCACTTGCTTTGGCAATGTTAACATGCCAATAAAGCCCTTACATTGAATTGAATTGAATTGAATTGAAATTGAATTGAGAGAGAGAGAGAGAGAGAGAGAGAGAGAGAGAGAGAGAGAGAGATGAGGCTTCCAAAAGGACAAATCAGGCCCTCCAAGGGTTAGCCTTGATTATTTTTTCAAAGTGCTTCAGGTTCCCTTAGTCTTGATAACAATCATGATAATGTCAATGGAGACTACAGAGACTAGAAGGTGGTAGACTAGTGTGTTGGTTGAAAGCAGATAAAGATAGCCCAAGTCAATTTGCACTTTAGTTTACTGTTAGATTGTTTAGTTTGACTGATTTCAAGGGGAAATCTAACTTCCCTCTAACAAACACCCAGAGAAGAAATGGGTGTCTTATGTCTAATTAAATCACAATCTGCTTTTGCAATTTTCAGCACTTGAGTAAAACCTTCCTTCTACAAATGGGTTCATGCAGTTGTTTCTTATCTGCCACATGCAGTGCACTTTGTGAAACAACTGTTTCAGTTACATAACGCTGTCACTCCTGTGTGCATGGAGACACTCAAGCAATGTGTGATAGATGACCGTACAGTGTCTGTCACACAAACCATGATGAATGAGGATGTTGGAAACGGAGCACATCAAACGTCAGATTCCCTGCAAAGTTGTGCATGGTAAAAATAGTGGACATCATGAGCCTGTTCCAGAGGAGTGCAAACCAACCATCCAGATGAAAAGGTGTCCAGGGCACGACTTTGCAGGTGAGGTTGGGTTGAGGTTTAAGCAAGGCTATGCAGATGTACTCTCCCTTCTACAGAATGCACTGTATCTTCAGGCCCACACGTCTCATACTGTATGTCTATATGTCTATTTGAACCTAGTGAAGGAAGAGCTGTGAGGGAAGAGCTATGTTTGGCTTCACTGTGAGGGAAGAGCTTTGTTTGTCTTCACTGTGAGGGAAGATCTTTGTTTGGCTTCACTGTGAGGGAAGAGCTGTGTTTGGCTTCACTGTGAGGGAAGAGCTGTGTTTGGCTTCACTGTGAGGGAAGAGCTATGTTTGGCTTCACTGTGAGGGAAGAGCTTTGTTTGTCTTCACTGTGAGGGAAGAACTGTGTTTGGCTTCACTGTGAGGGATGAGCTGTATTTGTCTTCAATGTGAGGGAAGAGCTGTATTTGTCTTCACTGTGAGGGAGGAGCTGTGTTTGGCTTCACTGTGAGGGAAGAGCTGTGTTTGGCTTCACTGTGAGGGATGGGCTATGTTTGGCTTCACTGTGAGGGAAGATCAGCCTGACAAAAGGAGAGGATGGTGGTTCCAGTACTTTCTGTTTTTGATGAAAGGATAAGAGAGGAGAGGAGAGGAGAGGAGAGGAGAGGAGAGGAGAGGAGAGGAGAGGAGAGGAGAGGAGAGGAGAGGAAGGAGAGGAGGCGAGGGAGAGGAGAGGAGAGGAGAGGGAGGAGAGGAGAGGAGAGAATAGCGAGAGGAAGGGAAGGAGAGGAAGGAGAGGGCAGAGGAGATCGGAGACGTTTCGCGGCTCGGGGATGGGTTCTCTGGGAGAGGTGTTCGATGAAGAGGAGGGGATTGCGAGAAGCCCGAGAGAGGAGAGGAGAGGAGAGGAGAGGAGAGGAGAGGAGAGAGGAGGGAGGAGAGGAGAGGAGAGGAGAGGATATGAGGGGAGAGGAGAATTCAGTGATGGCCTGGTTTGACTTCTGCTCCATCCGCCTCACGAACAAACGTGTCATAATCTCAGCGGTGGCGGACTGAGCTGTGAGAACTAGCTCCCCAGTGACCCCCCTGGCTTCGTCCGCTCTGTAGCCCTGGAGCCACTCTGCATGGGGAATGAGAGAACGAGAGAAAGGAGGAGAGGAGGGAGTGAGGAGAGAGGAAACCCAGAGACACAGCACAGGGAGAGCCAGCTAAATTACAAATCACATAATTGTAACTAGAAATGATGGATGGACGCAGTCTAGGCACACTGCTGCTTCGCTGCTTTTCCACCCTTCAGTGGACAGGAGTTTAGTTCCACTTCAAAACTACATAGTGGGACGACGGTGGTGGATGAAGGTTGGGTCAAAACGACAGTGCCTAGCGGTGGAAAATCCTATGGAATAGTTGTGATTTTACACACATTTCCACTGTGTTATTATGCCTTCAACATTGTCCTCATAGGATATGAAATTAAGGTCATTGTGGAGGCAAATTGGTAATCACTAGATGGCCACGTTTGAAAGGACAAATCTGTCATATCAGAACAAGCTTTATACAGGTACAATAACTTTTTTATTTTTGATCTATGGTTAGGGTTTCAGTTATGGTTATGATGGCTGAACGTTTAGGGTTCAATAGTCCATTCAAAGCACGTGTGGTTAGAAAGGGGCATATTCCCAGCCTTTCTAGAAGGCCAGATAGTGACAACAGAGACAGAATGTTCCCATGCAGGTGAAGTTTGGCTGGAGCCCCAGACTACAGGACTACAGAGCAGTAGGTAAGCCTGGATGACAGTGATGACAGTGACTGACAATAAGAAAACAGCGGCAGTCTGTCTGAACGGCAGGACAGGGCAATGCCCTCTCATCTGGTCCCTCTAGGAGATTCCCATGGGTATCATACTCGCAGAGTCACCAAGACACGGTCACCAAATCAGACAGACATGGACCCACACACAAGGACGCACTCACACACATACACATACATACACACACACACACACACACACACACACACACACACACACACACACACACACACACACACACACACACACACACACACACACACACACACACACACACACACACACACACACACACACACACACACACACACACACACACACACACACACACACACACACACACACACACCTACCACACAGATACTGGACACTTACAAAACACCAAGAAATCTTTACACAATCAATCAAATTTGATGTGTTATTGGAAGTACGGTGAGGTATGGGACCAGAGGTCTTCTGGACAGTTTAGGGGTGGACAGGAAGAGATGTCAGAGAGAACAGCTGTTGGCTGCCTTCACCCGGTACTCCTCTGGTTTATCGTCTCATAAAAGACATCCACATGATAACAGCACATGTGGCCACGTTCAGGTACGGCCAGAGGAGAGGTAAGGGAGAGGGGAGACTGTGAGGTGTAAGTTCCATCTTGTCCTGTTCATAAAGTGAGAACATTGTCAGAATATCAGTCTGAGCCAATGGCTTCATCCAGCCTGGTCTCATAGACTAGACTTAACATAGTAAACGTAAATCCGAGACACTCAAATTAGTATGATATGTTACATGTGGCATGTGGCATGGTTACATAAGACATATGGTTACTTAAGGCAAAATCCAAAGGTTGCGAGTTCGAATCTCATCATGGACAACTTTAGCATTTTAGCTAATTAGCTACTTTTCAACTACTTACTGCTTTTTAGCTACTTTGCAACTACTTAGCATGTTAGCTAACCCTTCCCTTAACCCTAACCGTAACCATTTTAGCTAACCCTTCCCCTAACCCTAACCCTTTAACCTAACTCCTAAACTTAACCCTAACCTTAACCCTAACCCCTAGCCTAGCTAACATTAGCCAGCTAGCTAACGTTAGCAACTAGCCACCTAGCTAAAATTCGTAACATATCTTAAGTTTTTCAAATTCATAACATATTGTACATTTCGCAAATTCGTAACATATAATACGAATTGTAATTCGTAACATATCATATGAAATGGGTAACGGACATCCACAAATTAATATATACCATACGAAACGTAACATATCATACTATATGGAGTGTTTCGGATTTACGTACAGAACAATACAAAATGCTCTGAGACCAGGTTGCTTCATCGGAGTGAAGAAGAATGTCAAAACATTAATGAACCCAGTTATGGCATGTACTTGCTTGAATATTATTACGCAACAGCATTTTCCATATTTTATTGAAATATTTTAAAAGCTGCTCATTCGTGGGCTTCTTCCACATTTCCTAGATGTTGAAAATGTACAGTGCGCGCCAAGGGCATTCTAGTAATAAAGGAGGAACTGGGTTTTACAGTGTGATCTCTACTGTTCACTAGGAAAGTCCTCCAGCTCCAGGAGAGGTAAAGGAGGCTCTAGGAGAGGTTTCTCCAACAACTTCAATGTGTGTGTGTGTGTGTGTGTGTGTGTGTGTGTGTGTGTGTTTGTGTGTTTGTGTGTTTGTGTGTTTGTGTGTGTGTGTTTGTGTTCATTTGTATGTGTATGTATGTGTGTGTGTGTGTGTCTGTGTGTATGTGTGTGTGTATGTGTGTCTGTGTCTGTGTGCTCTTTGTCTCATCCATGATCAACATAATAGTTTGACAGTATGTTACCCACTTCAACATCATGGTAGGACAGGAAAGAGGACAGCCTGACTCACTGAGAGGAACACAAACACAGCAGACAGAGTCTCTATCATGTTATGGGGTCAGACAAACGTCATGTTATGGGCTCAGACAAACGTCATGTTATGGGGTCAGACAAACGTCATGTTATGGGGTCAGATCTACGTCATGTTATGGGCTCAGACAAACGTCATGTTATGGGCTCAGACAAACGTCATGTTATGGGGTCAGACAAATGTCATGTTATGGGCTCAGACAAATGTCATGTTATGGAGTCAGACAAACGTCATGTTATGGGCTCAGACAAACGTCATGTTATGGGGTCAGACAAATGTCATGTTATGGGCTCAGACAAATGTCATGTTATGGGGTCAGACAAACGTCATGTTATGGGGTCAGACAAACGTCATGTTATGGGGTCAGACAAATGTCATGTTATGGGGTCAGACAAACGTCATGTTATGGGGTCAGACAAATGTCATGTTATGGGGTCAGACAAATGTCATTTTATGGAGTAAGATAAACTTAATGTCATGGGGTCAGACCTACGTCATGTTGTGGGGTCAGACAAATGTCATGTTATGGGGTCAGACAAATGTCATTTTATGCAGTAAGAAAAACTTCATGTTATGGGGTCAGACCTACGTCATGTTATGGGGTCAGACAAACGTCATGTTATGGGGTCAGAAAAACATCATGTTATGGGGTCAGACAAACGTCATGTTATGGAGTCCGACAAACGTCATGTTATGGGGTCAGACAAATGTCATTTTATGGAGTAAGATAAACTTCATGTTATGGGGTCAGAAAAACATAATGTTATGGGGTCAGACAAACGTCATGTTATGGTGTCAGATAAACGTCATGTTATGGCGTCAGACAAACGTCATGTTATGGGGTCAGACAAACGTCATGTTATGGGGTCAGACAAATGTCATGTTATGGGGTCAGATCTACGTCATGTTATGGGGTCAAACAAACGTCATGTTATGGGGTCAGACAAACGTCATGTTATGGGGTCAGACAAACGTCATGTTATGGGGTCAGACAAACGTCATGTTATGGGGTCAGACAAATGTCATGTTATGGGGTCAGACAAACGTCATGTTATGGGGTCAGACAAATGTCATGTTATGGGGTCAGACAAACGTCATGTTATGGGGTCAGACAAATGTCATGTTATGGGGTCAGATCTACGTCATGTTATGGGGTCAGACAAACGTCATGTTATGGGGTCAGACAAACGTCATGTTATGGGGTCAGACAAACGTCATGCTATGGTCTCAGACAAATGTCATGTTATGGGGTCAGACAAACGTCATGTTATGGGGTCAGACAAATGTCATGTTATGGGGTCAGACAAACGTCATGTTATGGTGTCAGATAAACGTCATGTTATGGCGTCAGACAAACGTCATGTTATGGGGTCAGACAAACGTCATGTTATGGGGTCAGACAAATGTCATGTTATGGGGTCAGATCTACGTCATGTTATGGGGTCAGACAAACGTCATGTTATGGGGTCAGACAAACGTCATGCTATGGTCTCAGACAAATGTCATGTTATGGGGTCAGACAAACGTCATGTTATGGGGTCAGACAAATGTCATGTTATGGGGTCAGACAAACTTAATGTTATGGGGTCAGACAAACGTCATGTTATGGTGTCAGATAAACGTCATGTTATGGGGTCAGACAAATGTCATGTTATGGGGTCAGACAAACGTCATGTTATGGGGTCAGACAAACGTCATGTTATGGGGTCAGACAAACGTCATGTTATGGGGTCAGACAAACGTCATGTTATGGGGTCAGACAAATGTCATGTTATGGGGTCAGACAAATGTCATGTTATGGGGTCAGACAAACGTCATGTTATGGGGTCAGACAAACGTATATAACAAAAGATAACAAAAGCTATGTTAGAAATTGATATGCCCACATTTTTATTGTCTAAGTAGAAGAAAAAGAAACAACATTCGCATGTCTGCGTGTCTTCATTCATGACTGAAGGTTATTTAAATCATTCTTCCCACTGCTTACCACAACACTGGCAAGTCGTCCGTATTTTCATTTCAGCTCTGTAAATGTGAATGAAATTCCAAGGATAGGTCATGTACAGGGTCAAACATGAATTTATCCCGAACACATGACCTGAGGTTTTCAGGACAAACTCCTGGCTCTATGCCTTGCATTTACACACAGTCTCCGGTACCCCGCTGATAACGTCATTATCTGTTTCCTAAAATAAATTGCATTGCTGTCATGAGTGGAGGTCTCAGGAGGGGCAGACAGAGAGACCTGTGGTGGAATTCAGCAGTGATCTATTTTAGGTTTTTGCGGGGCAGAGGGCCGCAGCCTGTGGGTTTTATAACAACTGACCCTGGCCAGGGAATTCTGACGTAACAAGTCAATATTACAAGTCCCTCTTTCCACTATGAGTGGCTCTAACCAGTTTTAATGCACTGTTTGTCTAGAAACACATCCACACACGCTCACAGAGACAGAGTGACAGAGACAGAGACAGAGACAGAGACAGAGACAGAGACAGAGACAGAGACAGAGAGAGAGACAGAGAGAGAGAGAGAGAGAGAGAGAGAGAGAGAGAGAGAGAGAGAGAGAGAGAGACCCTGGCAGGTCATTTAAACCCAGCAGACTCTTGAAAGGCCCAGTGCAGTCAAAATTCTGTTTTACCTGTTGATGAAAGTAACACTGTAAAAGTGTGAATAAATGTGGTCAGTGTTATTTCCTGATAGACTGGTTTAATAAAATACAATCTACACAGGACCTTCTAATCTGCAGGTTGGCATGGGCTGGAGTTTAGGCTTTACACGGAAAACATCGCCATGCGATAAATAACACTGATCAAATGTATTCACACTTTTACAATGTTACTGCCAATAGCAGCTAGTGTTCAGTTTTCCACTCCCAATCAGACCACTCCCAGAAATATTTGTTTTGCTAAAAAGCTACTTTTGCCCATTTTAATAGGAATCAATTACAGTAAGGTACTTCATTGTTACCCAGAAATGATTTGATATTGATATAAAAAAGCCTTTGAATTCCAACATAAACAGCAGGTCAAGCTTAAGACATTTACCTATACTGTGAGACGCCCCTGGAAGAAAACCACAGTGGCGCAGTGGTCTAAGGCACTGCATCGCAGTGCTAACTGTGCCACTAGATCCTGGTTCGAATCCAGGCTCTGTCGCAGCTGGCCGTGACCGGGAGACTCATGGGCGGTGCACAATTGGTCCAGGGTAGGGGAGGGAATGGCCGGCAGGGATGTAGCTCAGTTGATAGAGCATGGCGTTTGCAACGCCAGGGTTGTGGGTTCGATTCCCACGGTGGGCCAGTATAAAAAAATATATATATGTATTCACTAACTGTAAGTCGCTCTGGACAAGAGCGTCTGCTAAATGACTAAAATATAAAAAATGTCTCTCTCTCACTGGCTATAGACTACTATTTCATTACACATCTAGCGGAGGTTTCATTTTGAAGTATTGCAGAGAGAGTGAACCCAGACAGAGTTAATGGAAAATGTTCAGAGGGGTTTTTTGACTTTCGCTAATGAGCTTCCTTAGGAGTAAAGGGGTGTAGTAGGATAAACATCCCCAGACCCTGGCAGAGAGAGCAGTCACATTCACACAGTCACACCGATAGGTCCCAGCTTGGTCCTCTGGTCTGGAAAAACTTAAATTACCATGTTTGATAGACATTTAAATCATGATGCTTAAGAAAACAAAAGAGTGCAAGCGACACAGATGGATAACCAATTTTTGCTACCCTACACATGCTAACCCTTTGCTCTTTTTTGACCGGGAACTGGAAATTCCCTCCACGTCCACTTTGAACTACTCTCCTGGTCTTTTTCATAATGTGGCTGGCGAAAGTATTCACCCCTCTTGGCATTTTTCCTATTTTGTTGCCTTACAACCTGGAATTAAAATGGATTTTTGGGGGAGAAATAAGACAAAAAAAACAGAAAACTTGAGCGTGCATAACTATTCACCCCCCCCCCAAAGTCAATAATTTGTAGAGCCACCTTTTGCAGCAATTACAGCTGCAAGTCTCTTGAGGTATGTCTCTATAAGCTTGGCACATCTAGCCACTGGGATGTGTACTGGTGTACAGCAATCTTTAAGTCATACCACACATTCTCAATTGGATTGAGGTCTGGGCTTTGACTAGGCCATTCCAAGACATTTAAATGTTTCCCCTTAAACCACTTGAGTGTTGCTTTAGCGGTATGCTTAGGGTCATTGTCCTGCTGGAAGCTGAACCTCCGTCCAAGTCTCAAATCTCTGGAAGACTGAAACAGGTTTCCCTCAAGAATTTCCCTGTATTTAGCGCCATCCACCATTCCTTCAATTCTGACCAGTTTCCCAGTCCCTGCCGATGAAAAACATCCCCATAGCATGATGCTGCCACCACCATGCTTCACTGTGGGGATGGTGTTCTCGGGTGATGAAAGGTGTTGGGTTTGTGCCAGACATAAAGTTTTCCTTGATGGCCAAAAAGCTCAATTTTAGTCTCATCTGACCAGAGCACCTTCTTCCATATGTTTGGGGAGTCTCCCATATGCCTTTTGGTGAACACCAAACTTTTTTTCTTATTTTTTTCTTTAAGCAATGGCTTTTTTTCTGCCCACTCTTCCATAAAGCCCAGCTCTGTGGAGTGTATGGCTTAAAGTGGTCCTATGGACAGACACTCCAATCTCCGCTGTGGAGCTTTGCAGCTCCTTCAGGGTTATCTTTGGTCTCATTGTTGCCTCTCTGATTAATGCCCTCCTTGCCTGGTCTGTGAGTTTTGGTGGGCGGCCCTCTCTTGGCAGGTTTGTTGTGGTGCCATATTCTTTCCATTTTTAAATAATGGATTTAAATGGTGCTCCGTGGGATGTTCAAAGTTTTGGATATTTTTTTTATATAACGCAACCCTGATCTGTACTTCTCCACAACTTTGTCCCTGACCTGTTTGGAGAGCTCCTTGGTCTTCATGGTGCCGCTTGCTTAGTGGTGTTGCAGACTCTGGGGCCTTTCAGAACAGGTGTATATATACTGAGATCCTGTGACACTTAAAGTCAACCTGTGTGCAATCTAACTAATTATGTGACTTCTGAAGGTAATTGGTTGCACCAGATCTTATTTAGGGGCTTCATAGCAATGGGGGTGAATACATATGCACGCACCACTTTTCCGTTATTTATTTTGTATAATTTTTTTGAAACCACTTCACCAATTTGAACTATTTTGTGTATGTCCATTACATGAAATGCAAATAAAAATCTATTTAAATTACAGGTTGTAATGCAACAAAATAGGAAAAATGCCAAGGGGGATGAATACTTTTGCAAGGCACTGTATGATCTTCAATGTAAAAACACACATCACATCTCACACACACACTTTCAAAAAAGCTTTAATTAGAAATAGTTATATACACACGGTATAATTAAATTAAACTTTATACAAATATTAAAAATACGATCTTCACACCCCACTGCAACGTACAGAGGAAAAAAACAAAACATGAACGCATTGAAATGCAGAATCAAGAGATGGACTTTGTTTTCATTGTCATTTAGGAAACAACGGTGGTCTGGATGGAAAAAAATAGTTACAAGCTTTTTAAATCCCTTAACACGCAACATTTAAAAATGTCTAATAGACAGAAAAGAAAGTGATTTGTTTCAGGTGCTTAGGCTTTTGAATATCAGTTGCTGAAGAAGCCTTGGGGAGGACAGAGAGAAGGATGGACTTTCTTTAGTCGCGTCCAAAAACAAAAATAAAACGCATTGAAAAATACACAAGACAGTTGTATGACTAGAAAATACAAAAGTAAGGCCATTGGGAAACATTGAAGACGCTTCAATATCTAGCAGGTAAAGATGGAGGAAACTTCCGGTACAATTAGAAACAAAAATAAAGTAATACAATGTACAAGGTCTAAGGCAACGTTCTCTGTTTGCGTTTATGAAGCCATTGACAATCACAGGTGGACAGACCGACACAAATAAACAAAAAACCCAAAAATAAAATGTGAAAAAAAAAGTTTCAAAAAGCCAGACTAGACCCAGACCCTGTCTCCTCATCCTAAATGGGCTAGGGTGATGACCTCAACTCCCAAATGTATAGGAGTGGTTTCATCAACAGAGGTAAATTAAAAAACTGTGCTCACTTAAAATTTGAACTGAACATTTACAACGTAAAGATTACTGTTGTTGTTTCCTGCAACCAGTTGCAGTTGTGTCAATGCTCCGGTTTTGAAGCAAGGTTTTTCAGTTTAAGTCGCAGATCCACGAGGTTACTCTGAAGCAACTCTGCAGAAAATGGAGGACATTTTAATCCTTGAACATTTAAAATATACATCATGTACTGTATTCTTACAGTAAGGACTGTTTGTTCTTATGACCATTGTAAAAAGCAGGAAAAAAAAAGAGGGCAGCCATTTTGAACTGGGGTAGCTGTGTGAAGCCATCTCTACTAAGGGCAGGGATCCTGGGTACCATTTCCTGTGTACCCATTCTATGGGCATGTCCGTTCTCTCTCGCCTAACGTACACAGAGGCAAGGACGCACACACCCACACACACACCCACACACACACCACCCACACACACACACACACCACACACACACACACACACACACACACACACACACACACACACTCTCACACACACCCACAAACTCCACACCACAAACATTTTACCCCCCAACCAAACAAAATAAAACCCAAATCCCCCCGAAAAATAGGAAAAAAACCGGAGTGGGGGTTTCCCCGGGGGCAAATAAAAGAAAAAAAAAAAAAAAAAAATTTGCTCCTAACTTAAGTGGTCGGTAAGAGCGTCTGCTAAATGAAAATGAAAAAAAATTCTCTCTCTCACGGGTTAAAGAAAC